TCAGGATTCATGAAGTATGAGGATATTTTGTTTATTATATATTCCGTGCTTTTGCTTGGAACAGCTGTGATCGTCGTTTTGATTGCCGCCTTATCAAGGGCGCCACCTCCTAACAATGAATATTTACCGGGTAACGTTTTCTGCAGCCGTATCTATGGTTTTATCAAGGAAAGTTATGAAATCCTCTGAACTCCCTATGTATACAGGGAAACATCACCCAGGATGTTGTGAAAATATTTTCCATCTCAGCGATGCTGAACCTAATGGGTGGGATGGCATGGCCCCAGATAAATTTTGCGCTACACTTTCTGTTGTCAAACGGGTGGTCCACATGATCCGAACCCTTAAGAGGAGTAGGTCATTTTTGACTTCTGACCGTGACAGAGCCTTCAATGGAGGAATCAGAAACGGAATCAGAGGATTAGCTAGAGCTCGTGTTTATCATGATTTGCGAAGCGATTTGATACCCCTATTTGTGAATGATCGAGTTAGTAGCTTGAAGTCCAGAAAATACGTAATTCTACTGGAACATTTTTATTGGAACTTATTAAATTATGACTTCCATTTATGCCCTGGTTGGTTGTGTGTGCTCTAAAACTGAAGAGTAGAAAAGAGCTAAGGTCCCATGTTGAGTCACATTCTAATTTCCATAGTGCAACGTGGTTGAAGTTAGGCTGTTTCCGAAAACGTGCTCGCACAGAAAAGTGAGCAGAATTCATGTGGCTACTGATCGTGACGTCACGACGTCAGTCTCAGCACCACTGCGCATATGTGACACCTTTCAAACGCGTTTGTGATTGTGAATGGATGTCAAATGTATGGCGCACATCGAAACGAAATCCTTCGACACCTGCTATTTGTTTCTTGTTCACTGAGAGGATATGTGCTTTAACCCTTTCGGACCTGAATTTTTTCCCGTGGAGAAATTTTTCTTCTAGCTATTGTTTATTACTTGTGAGCATATAGGTATCATTATGGCGAAATTTGGAAGCTATTCGATCACAAACTAAGAAACTAGGAAGCTTTGAAAATTGGCCCACCTTCTTAGTTTTTGAGCTTATGTCGAAACAATTCCAAATTTCATAGTTATGCCGAAAAAGTTTATAATCTTGCACAACATTATAACCCATAATTTTGATGAACGAATGGATCTACTTCAAGTATTTTAGGAAGGAGATATCTTGGATAATTGCTAAAATTCGCATAATAGGAGTGGAGCATTCGAGTGTCTCCTCTGAAAGTTACTTATCCCCCCCCCAACCACTTTTTCACGAAAAGGTGTCTCGAAGGCCTGCGAGCCGAATGTGGTACCTATTGGAAGGTGTATTTATTGATTCTTCGAAGCTGTCTTCAGTTTCCTGAAGGTTTGTCAAAGTTTCGTGCAGCAGAAATTCAATAGTTTTCCAAAGAAGTAAATTTAGTTGCAAACCTAGCCGATTTCTTAGCATAGTCCGCTCCAGCCCTGATAACTGTCCAGTATTGTGTTTCTTTTTAATTATCCTAATCCTTTCTCTCAGACTTCTCTCCTACCATGGACCTCCTTTGAGCTCGAAGCAACAGTCCCAGCAGGGTTTTACCTTCGACACTAATGGTGTGGAACGATGCGCTAGCCCTAGTCAAGAACATAAGAAGTGTGACTGAACAAAAAAAACTCACCTTGGAAAGCCGCTAGAAAGGGAGCTGAACGGCTTCGAAGTGGGCGTGGTTGGAATCGGCCGAGGGGATTGCAGCGACTGAGCAACCACGCCCACTTCGAAGCCGTTCAGCTCCCTTTCTAGCGGCTTTCCAAGGTGAGTTTTTTGTTCAGTCACACTTCTTATGTTCTTGACTAGGGCTAGCGCATCGTTCCACACCATTAGTGTCGAAGGTAAAAACCCTGCTGGGACTGTTGCTTTAATCTAGCTAAAGACTAGTATGTAAGTCATGGGAGCGAACGTGGTTTCTCACGTGTTTCGGAACGTTGGTATTGTTGTGCGAAACTTTTCCTTTGGCTTCACCAAAGATATCGGATAAAGCATTCACGCATGCTGGCCAACCCCTTTTCCGGGGTTGCACTGCGGCTCCAACATCTACTGTTAATCATGACCGCATATAAATTCCTAGAAAGCTGCATTACGAGTAGCAAGTGTCGACTGTTCCAGTGTTTCTACAATCACGAGCCTGAAAAATGAATTATTAACTCTCAGAGGGTAGAGGAGGTAAAGATCGTGAGCATAGACATAAGTAAGTTCGATCCACCGCCCATATCCATAGATCGTATTTGTAATGATACCATACGCGATCGCTTTGGTGTAGCTCCTATTGCTGATAAGATGCGCGAAGCTCGACTTCGATGGTATGGTCATGTGCTTCGTGGAAACGATGACAGTGTGCGTAAGATGAGCCTCAACATCGACGTGCCCGGAAAGCGGCCTAAGGGACGTCCAAAGCAGCGCTGGCTTGATACATTGCATATGGACTTAAAGTTAGCTGGTATCCATCCCGATCAAGCATTCAATCGGGAAAAGTGGCGTCAACACATCAGAAAAGCGGACCCTGCCACCAAGCGGGACAAACGCTAAAGAAAAAGAAGAAGAAGATCCACCGCCCATATCCCCCTTATGTCTAGGCGTAGCTACGTCTTGCCACTACCTTCGCCCCTTTTGCTTTTTTCTCACTAGCAGTCCTCTACGCACCTCCTGTCTCATTTCCTAGCGAAATAAGCACTATTTTTGGTCGTAGCCTGTGCAAGCTGAATAAATCAAAATAGCTGCCCTTTTCTGTGAGACGCATATGGTTCCTGCGGTTCACAACAGGTTAGTCTTGTATGTGCGATTCCGTATGTACGATTTTTACGTTTCCACGCATCGGCTGCAGACAGGTCCGCAGCATTCATGTCGTACTTTCAGGTTATCTAGCCATCGCTTTCTGGGTCGGCCTCTTGGACGTGTACCGACGAACATTGTCTGCTAACGAACATGTTGTCTGCCGACTTGGACACAGCATCAGGGGGTCTTCGTAGGACATGACCGTACCAGCGGAGGCGTGAGGCAGCAAGGGTGTTGGCGATAGGTTGAACTTTGATTTTGTCTCGTATGTGTTCATTCCGAATGCGGTCTAGACGCGTGTGTCCCAGGCACCATCGCAACATTTTCATCTCCATGGATCCATAGGCTCTTGTTTCGTCAGCCGTCATCTGTTTCGTTTCTGCTCCATAAACAGCTACCGGCCTCACGACTGAGGTGTATATTTTGGACTTTAGGCGTATTGGCATTTTCTTGTCACAAAGGATACAGGTGACCGTTCGCCATTTGTTCCATGCTGCATTGATTCTGGCAGTCGTGTCGGCTTTCGTGTCAGTGTCCGCAGAGAGCATGGATCCGAGGTATGAGAATTTAGCCGTCTTTGGTAGGGGAGTTCCAGCTACAACAATTGACGATTCTGTAGCCACCGTGCTCATATATTCCGTCTTGTTAATGTTGAGCTTGAGTCCGTGATCATCGAGTTGTTTCTTCCAGCGGTTGACACGTTTTTCTAACTTTCTCTTTGATCGATCCATAAGCAGCACATCGTCAGCGTAGCCCAGTGTCAGAGGCGGCTCCTTCCGGATGTTTCTCGTGGCGTAGTCCATGCAAAGGATGAAAAGTAGTGGTGAAAGGGCTGATCCTTGATGGACTCCAACGGTTACCGGAAACTGTGGGGTGTCTCCTACTGGTGTGCGGACGGCAGTGGTGGAGTTGAGGTAGGTCAGCTGTACAGCTTTGACAAGTGCTTCAGGTACTTGTTGATATCTGAGGGCTTCCCAAATGAGTTGTCGTGGCACTCTGTCGAAGGCCTTCTCCAGGTCTAAAAAGGCCATGTGGAGCGGCTTATTCCATTCCTTTGCTTTCTCCATCATCCGTCGGGCAACATGAATGGCATCGGTAGTGCTGTGCTCAGGTCGAAATCCACACTGCATCCGACTTATGTTGACTATCTCCCTTAGTCTGGTGTCTAGAATTCGTTCGAAGATCTTCAAAGTGTGACACATTAGACGAATAGGACGGTAACTGGAGCAATTAGCAATGTCTCCTTTCTTCTTATAAATGGGCACTGTGATGCTTTTTGACCAATCTTTCGGAATTACTCCTTTTTCTATGCAGTTGTTGAAGAGTTCCGTCAAAAAGGAATAGCCTCCAATTGTCTCCAGATCTCTGCAGGAATGTCGTCTGGCCCAGTGGCTTTCATGTTCTTCATCTTTTTGACGGCTTCTCTAGCTTCGTTCTCTTTCTTGTTTTATCACTAGGGGGTTGAATGAATGACCCAATCCGCTCGGATGTTCCACGTTTCCTACGTCGGTTACTAAGCGATTGACTCCCTTACACCAGTGCGGTCACTCAGAGTAGAGCTTCAGATATGGACCTTGAGCAAGCAATCCTAATGAGACAATCTCTATTCCGCTATCACGGTGTAGACACTGATGGTAACACTTTCAGTTAACACCACAGCACCCCCAACATCGATAGCAGCACTACCAAAATCTACGACAACCACCACAGAGCCAGGAACAACGGCGGCGAAACCCACGGCTACCACGACTAAACCGGGAACAACGGCGGCAAAATCGACAACAGGTACGTGTTCTCAACACGAAAGATGTTGGAAAAAATGGGGCGTGGGCCCTTATTATTCGTGCAACCGCAAGCCGTATGCACGATATGAGTTCCAAGTTCTGTTACCAGGAGTCACAGTTGCTTTTTGACAATTACTAGCACTCCGACTAGTTTTTACTCACTTAGTTTTTTGTATGGTCAGGACATAATTTTGAGACACTTTGGATGTTTTTCGATTTAATTACTTATTTATTTCTCTGATGTATTTATTCAGCACAGTATACATCACCATTATTACCAACATATAACCAATGCGAGGGTGGGTATTCAGTGTCTCTCTTGTAGAATTTCATAGAGTTCTGATCGAAGAAATATTGGATGTCGATTTTGACTTTATGGTGATTCAAGTGAGATTTCTTCTCCAGAAGGTGATTGAGAGAGGAGAGCGGATAGTCGTTCGTTGACGCAGGATTAGTGCTACAAGGCGGAGCTAAAAGAACTGACCGCCCGAGAGTCTCCAATTTTTCATGAATTTTCTTAGCAAGGCTGGGCTCGAACGACCTCAGAAAAAAGTTATTGTTTTACATTGCTTTCATTTGAAAGGCGTCACCATCAAGCTGTGACGATTATCTTCATCACTGATACTGGTATTAGTTGGTGCCGGTTCCAGCGCAAAGCCCCTCTCGTATTCCGCCAACGACTCAGGAAGTAGAATTCAGAGGGAGTTGGGTTTTGCTGTCAGAACTCCCGAATCGTTTGAAGCTAAGCTACTGCGGCTTGTGGATTTGTTAGCACACTGCACCCACATCACCGGTGAGTATGCTGGATGGTTATTCGAAGAAACTGTGGGAAACCAACAGGATCATGATGATCCCTACCTAGCATCCGAAAATTCAGTTTCTGATTCCATGCGTATGCTTCGTGCCCGTCTAGGAGTGGCGTTATCCCTAGCGCTATCCGCCCATTGACTTCTAAACACTGACTGACGAATACTGAACACATTTCTGTTCGAGTACAACTTCAATTGGGCCTACAGGAACCTCCTAATTTGCATTGTCGACATCTCTGCTTTTCGAAATTTCGTCCTGGAGAATCATCTCTTTATCTCGATGCTGCCTAGCTGGTTCACTTAGTTAATGTTCTGTGTTCCCTAGTTTTACTGATGTTAAGATGTGAATTAATGTAGCGCACCTACGCGTCTGAATTAATGTAGCCCACCTGCACACACACGCACAACCGCTCAGCAAATTATATATAGTAGGATTGAGAGATTTGTTTTCTCTATAGAAATCGTGTATACTACCATAAGGGTAGAAGTTTAAGTTCATTCCCGCAAAAAACAGCTTTACCTCCATTTTAATCAACTACCTGACAAAAAGCAACCAGTGATGTACATTCTCTGCGTCTCGCCGCCCTCTGAACATAGGTGTTGAGAACAGCTATGACAAATTTCTATTTATATGTTCGATTTAATTTATCGTCAACTAGAAGAAATTTTTTGAGGAAATATTATCATTCCCATTAACCTTATCACGTGGTTTGGAAATTAGATCTACACAGGATAGGAATTTAACGAAAGCATGTCATCAAATAGAGTAACGAAAATTGTTTAAAACGATTCTTACTCATACTTATACGGCTCGTCCTCAGTTCATCTGCGAGCACCAGCAACAAACCATTCGTTTCGTTCTTTCGCAATCGCCATCCATGGTTGTTGTAGAAAGTCGGCGGAGACGGCGATCTGAAGCATCGTTCAGCTGCATTCGCAGCTGCTTTATGTGATTGACGAGTGCATCTCCCCATCTCGCAGCAGGTCTCCCTTTGGACCGCGAAAATCCTACGGGAGCCCACTCTACCGTTCTTCTTGTCCACCTGTCATCTGCTCTCCTCATGATATGACCGGCCCATCGTAGCTTGTTTGTCATGTACTCCACAGGGTCTCGGAGACGGGACATTCTGCGTAGGTCTGCGCTGCGGAGTCCGGCTCGATATTGAGTAAATCGATTAAACCTCAAAAGACATCGCTCGAGCGCTCTGTGAGCTACAGTCAAAGTCCTTGACGTGGATGCACTGCTCACTCATGCCCTTCATAGTTGTATGTGTTCATGGCGCCGCGATGAAACGTAAGATGTGGCTTCCTTGATAGGTGTGCCATCAATCTTGATTCCGCCTCCATCGGACCAAGCGTTCTTCATGAATTGTGTCTTTTTTGGTTGATCCGCAACCCCACCTTCTTTCCTGCTTCATTCAATTCAGCGAGCATCGTCTCAGCTTCCGTAGTGCTACTTGAGAAGAGAACGATGTCGTCGGCGAAGCGCAGATTCGAGAGGTACCGTCCGTCCACACGAACGCATTTCTCATCCCAATCTTCATACCTGCAGGCGAGATAGCGTCGCTTTGTCTCACGTTCCTTCCCCAAAGGGATGGTGAGAGGTCGTTGGAATAGTTGCACCGTTGCGGTGCAGCGACGACTTGCAGTCGGCCAGTGTTCTCATATA